GGCCAAGACGGGCGAGAGCATGGCACGGCGACACAGAGCGGCCGCGCGTGGTGACCAAGCGCACAGGCCAGGCAGCCCAAGACTGTGTTCGTGCATAGATTTTAAAGCGTCTCTCAACACTAATCCAACTCGGTTGCGGCAAACCACATTGACCATGCTGAAGGAGGTACATCAGGCTAGCATAAGGAGCAAAAACATAGCACTGACCTTTAGCTAAATTTTTCAGAATTAATTCACCAACATAGCATTGCCATAGTGTTATTGGACTTAAGAATTTTTCTAGGTCTTGAGCTGAATTTGATTTTAAGTTATATTTTAGGCTATTAGAAATGTTAGCTAGCAATGTTATTTTTTCACAGCAAGTATTTCATTGTCATCTATAAAGTTTGTACTTCAAACTTTATTTAAGCATCACACACATGCTCTATAGTATTTTGTTCCATAAAAATTGGTTTAAAACCCTACTTGATAATTGTCATATTTATGGAATAGCTTCTCGTTTAGCATTTTTATTGATCATTTTAAGTTGTAATATTTCATCTATTCATTTCATCACATGCATTATCACGTAAACATGATGCTCGTGACATGGTTTAGTAATTTGTTTAGGGCGTAACACCGAGGATGTTAGAGAAGCGTAGCCAGCCGCGGCTCAGTTGGTGCACGGCTTGCTGGCTCGGCCAGTCGAAGGTCGCGTCCCTGCTCGTTAACGCCTCGGTCGTCATGGACAGGTCTCCGCCCCCCGATGCCAATGGGTGGAAGAAAATCCTCCCTCAGCAGGAGACGAGACATGTGGCCGCCCTAGGGCCTTGCCGTGGCCTAGAGCAGCTACTGCAGTTCAAGAACATTCCCCGCATTGTTTCACGGCAGATGTTTCAACTGCCTTTCCAACTCGCATCGAGTAGCGACTTGCCGGTTGCCACGGCGTTGCCTGCACTGCCGTGGATTCCGCCACCTCGCAAAGGATTGCAAGCGGTCCAGGTCGGCTGAGGCGATGGCGGAAAAGGGCGGTGACCATCGACGACATTATGCTCGTGGAGACAACCCACCGGCCTTCCAACACACGCACCAACGTGGTCCAACGACCTCGGATGGTGCCACGCAGGGTGTTGTGGGGGGGGGGGTGCCAACGGCATCCGTCGAGGACGCCGGCGGCGCCGAGGCAAGCCGGCAAGGGAGATCAACATCGCTGCGACTACTTTCTACGCCAACAACGCCTCTACTTCTACTGCTGCACACTGCTACCACAAGTCAGACCCACTAGCGGTGGCGCTAAGCGAGAACGTTGGGCCTCCCGCTTGGGTCGACCCGATGCTCGATGAGCTCGCTGCCTCGCTTGTCGTGAGTCGGTTAGAAGGAGCACCAACGTTTGGGCGCCCGTCTACTCCGATAGCTGCCTCTCTGGAGGTTCAGGCATCGTTAGCGGACACTCGTTTGCCACCACGTCTGGTTCAGCTCAACTTCACGGATGTTGAGGCATCGGAGGTGGATGGTGAGGTCTGACAACCTACCTCTACGTCGACGCGGGACCAGCAACCAACGACATCGATGTTCTCCTTTGGCCCTCGCTAGGGAGTTTGCTAGGCGCGTCTCTGCCCCACGGAAGACTCCCACCCTCAAGGCGCCACCCCGACGTCGACCCCGTCGCTCTCCAACTTTGGCCACCATCCGCCGTAGCACGCGTCTTGCGGCAAAGTACGCCTCTCAGACCCCTAACGTCACCCTTCAAGCACAGAAGGTGCTTGTGTCCAAGTGGAAACCCACCGCTTCATAGCCGTCGGATACCCAGATAGTGGCAGACTTCAGCAGACATTCCAAAGCCCGCTCGACTCCACAAAAAGGGCCGCACTTCACAACTGTCGGATACCCAGGGAGTTTGCCAAAAGCGTCGAGCTCGGCAGCTAACCAGCTGTATTCGCTCGTCAGTTTGCTGTACCTGCCAGGACTTTTCGTGATGACTCGGTCGTTGCTGGTGTTGGTGGAGTTGTCCTCATTGCCCAACTGTGGGAATCCATCCAAGAATCTCGTGTGATCGAGTGGAGCTACGAGCTTGCTCCCAAAATTTGAGACCACCGTTGGTCCCATGACAATGATGCGTTCAGAGTTCAGACCTTCATTCATCCCATTATCCAACACAATTCTTTTTTTATAAGCAAATTTAGAAAAACTCGATTCTAAAGCCCAATTGGATGTCTGACGTATAGGCCTGGTCCAAAAGTTTTAGATATGTCGATCCAACCGATGTGGCCCATGTAACGCGTGGGCCGCCGACTGATGGCTCAACAACCCAACTTTCAGCAAACTCCTCAACGTGCGAGCACCAACGATGCGCGGATACTCCGGGGGGTCCGTATCGCGTATCGGACACGTTTTGGATACGGATACGGCTCAGATACGGCGCGGATACATATCCGGGGCGTACTAGGAAATCTGGATACGTAATAGCCGGGATACGAGTATCAGATACGTATGGGCCGATTTTGATACGGCCCATGAAATGAAAATGGCCCAACCTACCTCCCAGCTCCCACTCTCCCACGGTTGACCTACTCCCTTCCCCCGCACGCTCGCAGTAGAACGGCGCCGCATCCCGACTCCTGCACTTCCACTTCGACTGGAAACTTGGCGGCGACGGCGACGGCGACCGGCGGCCGGGCTGCAAGCAGCCGGCGGCGAGCCGGAGACGCCCTCTCCGAAATCCCAAATCCCAGCCCCCTGCAGCCCTGCGCCATCATCGAATCGACCGGCGGCGGGGCAGCAAGCGGCGACAAGTCAGGTGTCCCTACAGTTGGTAAGCTGCATCCATGCGCCCCTACTCCAACCAACAACCATCCTTGTAGTTTTGTTCATCATGTGATGTGCTTCGATCTGAAATTTTGTTCATCTTTATTTGTTAGACTTTAGCAAACTCCTCCACGTGCGAGCACTTCACCAGTTCACCCACTCGGAGCAGGAGGAGAGAGAAAACCTCGCCGTCAATGTCTTCCAAGGGCGCTAGGGTTTAACCCCCAACTGTTCGATCTCTCCCCCCAATCCAGTTCGGCAGCATCTAGTCCGCGAGCCGGCGACATGGGGTACCTCCAGGAGGCCCGGGAGAATCACGTCAAGAAGAAGGTCGAGGAAGGTGACTCCCGCACCATCCCATCCGTGCCTCATAGCATTTTTCATTTGTTGATTTCGGCGTCCTGGAGTGTGCGGAGCTCCTATTGATTCTCTATGTTAAATGGATAGTTGACTACAAGGTTAAATCCATTGGTTCGGCTTTGCTTCACCTGATTATGTGGTAGTTGGTATTTGCACGACGATATGTTGTTTGCATGAACTTCCATCGATATGGTGTTGTTAACTCATATTAGTTATCAATTTTTAGTCTATTACCAGTTTGTATAACAGATTCGAGCTTTGTAGTAGAGTACCCAGCTGCACATGCCATTAGAAATTAAGAACATTTATCTACCAGCTTGTTACACCTGAATATAAGTGCATTCTTTTTTACTGTAACTGAATGAATATCAGAATGTTTTCTCACAGAAGTAGACACAATATATCCCATGCCCGGTGGAGTGAACTAACTATTCTTAATTATTGAGGAAATTTCTCTACTGTTTTTCTCCTAGCAAGCCATTAATTAATGTTGAATCTCATAAAAAGATGTAAATGGTTGGACTAGTGGAGTACTGTTCATCGTGGCCAGAATGTTTCTCACGCGAACAGTTATTTGTTCAATGGATTATCGTCGTTTACGATGTCTCCATTAGAAACAGTACCATAGTATGTGCCCATGTCACCTATGGTGTATAGAAAACGTTTCTAATTTACTCCCTCCGTCTCAAAATAAATGCAATTCTAGATTTGAGCCAAGTCATTTTTTCTTAACTTTGACTAAATTTATAGAAAATAGTAACAACATTTATGTCTCCAAGTAGGTTTACTATGAAAATATATTCCATGATTAATCCAATGATACTTATTTGGTATCATAATTGTTAGTATTTTTTTTTCTATAGATCTGGTCAAATTTAAAACTGTTTGACACTTTGACTCAAAAGGCGAGAATTGCACTCTTTTTGGGACGGAGGGACTATATGCACTATATCTATCAAACCTTCAGTAATTCTTATTGTATTTATCCTTGACTCACATTATCATTTCGTGACCTGGAATTTGCGCTGAAGCTGTTAGGCTAGCTACTATTTAATAGCTAACACCCATCTCTCTGCTATGTAGTAGCAATTTTCCTCTCTCTACTGTGAGCAAACTGATGACATGGCAAGGCTTGTAGTCAAAGTTCAAGAAGGCGCTAGGCGCTTTCTAGGCGCTGACCCATAGCCTAGTGCCTAGGCCTAGGCCAGCCTAGGCGTTTCAAGGTGTTTTTCTAGGCGTTTGGCCAATTTAGCACACAACATATATATATATATATATATATAGCAGAAAATGCTGAATAAATTAGTTAAATAGAAGCATAGAGTAGCTGAATACAGTATATAAAAGAGAGGGCAGTAGACATACCTTAGTGGCTTACTGGCTTAGGCTCAATAATCAATAGACAGCTTGTTCCTAGTTCCTACAGCAAGGATTGACAGCTTGTAAATACTCAATAGACAGCAAGCAGTTCATCAAAAAAATAGAAAATAGCAAGTTGACACTTATCTGAATGATTTCAGCCATCTCCCATCCATGAACAAACCATATCAGCAGCTAGTAATTACAAATTTTAAAGCACAAACAAGTGGACAGGACAGCAGTACAAGTGCACAACACAATTCATAAATAAAGGTCTTGTTCAGAGACCACATAGTTCTCACAAAAGAAGAAAAACACAGTCACACAGCAGCAGTTCATAAGTTTCAGACATACATGATAAAAGATAAACCATGACATGATAAAAAGGCCCCACTACCATATCATCTTTCTTCTTCAATAGGGTTCCACATAATCATCCTCATCTTCATCAAACTGTTCTTTTTCGGAGTCAAATTCTTCTCCTTCATAAAGCTGTCTCACTCTTGCACTTCTACGCAGCTCAAGTTGTTCCTCTGCTCCCATTGCATCTCCAATAACAGACAAGGTATCCCTGTACCTTCCATCTCATCTTCCTCATCTCTATAGACAACTAATGCACAATCATCTCCATTCTCATGCAGAAAACCTTGAGCTTCAGTTGTATCATTAGACAAGAGAACATCACTGATCTTCTTTGACTTGATCTTTTCTTTCTTATTAATCAGCTTGGAGTTGAATTGAATATAGACCAATTTATTCAGGCGGGCTGTAGTAAGCCTATTTCTCTTCTTAGTGTGTACCTATAAATTTAAAATAAGAGCATTTTCAGGTCTGCAATTTAATTGTAATGCTGCTGCAATTTTCAGGTAGACAGGTACTAACCCCTTCAAACCCGCTCCAATTTCTTTCACAACCAGAAGAGCTTGATATCAAAGATAGGATCCTTGTAGCCATCTTCTGTAAAGCTGGTGTTTCAGTTCCATACAGCCGCCACCATGATGCTGAAATAAATGAAAAACACCTCTATTAGTTAGTAGCCATTTATTGTTAGATGAAATCAGCAAACAACCATGTTGTAATCAAATTTATTGTAATAACAAGTACCTCTACCTGGGTTGTAATCAAAGTTTTCAAAAGTCCTTGCAAGCTTCTTGTTAAATGGTCCTTCTCTATTCTGACATCTCTTTTGAGCTGATAAAACTGGTTCCATCAGCACAATTAGTGCACAGGTTCATTATGCTTCTCCTCTTCCTATCTGACCAAGCATCAGTTATAATAGAACACCCATTATTTAGCTTCTCGGCTTCATGTTCTTGCAGCAAACTCTTGGTTCTTGCATATTCTTCTTCCAGCAATCTCTCTCTCAGATCATACTGAGTTGGAGGTTCAAGTCCAGCCCCAAATTGTCCAATTGCTTCAACCATTTGTTTGAACTCATCATTGTCACATGCATTGAATGGTATTGCTTCCAATGTTACAAAACAAGAAGGTTAATTAGTGTTCAGTATAGCCATAATAGCATCTAATGAATTCTGAAATATAAATACAGAATATGAACTTACCATGTGTATAGACCCATCTTGCAATATATTTATGCACCTCATGTGTTCTTTCTTTCCAAAGCTCCTTGTTCAGCTTCTGTTGAGTGAAAGATTCAGATTTGGTTGCTTTTGGATCAATAGCACGCGTCCATTTGTCAATGGGTCCTAATTTGTGAGGCTCTGAACTTCCAATACAAGTGACTTCCTCTGACTCTCCACCTCCAACCCGAGAAACATTCACTTCCTCTCTAAGTTCTAGCTCATGAACAGGCTTCTCCTCCCTCTTCCTTTTTGCATCATTTAGTGCTTTCTTGCACTTCTCTTTAGCCTCCAGAGCCTCCGGTGTTCTGGCCTTGCATTTCGTCGCATTCTTTCCTTCATGGGCCACTTGTTGCTTCAACCGATAAATCCCTCCTTGCATCACCTTGTCACAGAGTTTGCACTTCACCTTGTCCTTGTTGTTAGCATCAACAAAAACCCCATATTCCCATCCCACATCATCTGAATTCCTTCTCAGGAGATTCGCTCCCTCAGTTTCAGGTGCAACCTCTGTTGTCGACATCCTATACATACATTCAGATTTCAGTGACAATACATTCAGAGTTCAGTGAACATTCAGGCAATACATACATGTAGCAAATCAGCTAAAACAATCAGTCACACATCCTACATCCAGGCATTTAGAGTAACATTCAGGCATTCATGCATTGAAATTAGGCATTCAGAGCAAATAACAATTAACAAGTGACAACAATATTACCAAATGACAGCAGGCATTCAGAGTAAACATATTAGCTAACAATCTAACATTCAGAGAATCAGAGTAGGCATACATTCAGATTCAGAGGACAGATCAGCCTCTCTATCTTCAGATCAGGCATGCATGATACATTCAGAATTTCAGATTCATTCAGAGGACAGAGGAGGCAGTGAGTAGAGTAGACAGCAACAGCCGAGCAGTGGAAGGCAGGGTACCTGGCTACCTGCAGCCGAGCAGGGGAGGGCAGCAGCCGGTTGGTGCAGTCGTGCAGGCGTCCAGCCACCTGACGGGGAGGGGAGCGGACGGCTGGAGCAGTACTGGTGGGGACGGGAGCCGCCGGCGGGAGCTCGAGCAGCAGACCGGCGGGGATGAGCGCGACCGGCTAGAGGCGGCAGGGCGCGACCGGCAGAGAGAAGCTGTAGGCGCGAAGGCGTCTTTCCCTCTTATACTCTGCCGCCCGATTCCATCTGCGCGCGCTCCTCACTTTCTTCTCCGGCGCCCGAGCGCGGGCCCGATGCCAGCTTCATGCGTGCGCGCTTCCGGGCGGCAAAATTTTCGCGCGGCTCGCCCGCGCCGTCCGCCCAGCCCGCCTCCACGCCGCCTAATCGCGCCGAGGCGCCGCCTTACGAAGCCTAGGCGCTGCGCCCACCTTGGAGTCCTCCTACCCCCATAGGCCAGGCGAGACCCGTCGCCCAGCGATTAGGCACGCCTATAGGCGGGGATGAGGCGTCGCCTTTTTGAACCTTGCTTGTAGTCTACTGGCATGTCCCTGTTGGAGATGCTCTTTAGCATTCATTGAGATTGAGTTTTAGATTATGCCCTGGAAAGAGGAAACCCATTAAAGATTGTTGTATTTGTATCTATTTCTAAGAGTTAGCTCTTCCCATTATTTGTTTCTCTTTTCAGCTTTGCGGAGCAAAATGAAACAAAAGGCCCTTAAGGAATGTGATTTCTATTGTTCAAAATATGCTGAATGTGCTCGAGGAAGAACATTTTCCGTGGTATGGCAATGCCGCAAACAAGCAAAAGAGTTGAATGAGTGCCTTCATCAATAGTAAGTGCTCATTACATTCCAGTCTTGTAAGTTCCACTATGTTATGTTAGAATAAGCATCCAGGTGGCATCTCTGTTATTTGTTTGATTTTTGTCGTGTATGATAAAATTGCACTCATATTTAATGTCTACAGCCTGCTTGCATGTAGCAGCACTATTCACCTTTTAATATATATTTTATTTGCAGAATACGTAGGAGAGGTGTGCATCATTGCATTAAGGAGATAAATAAATAAATAAATTACAACACACCCACCCTTCACCCCCAGCCCACCCACCCACCCACTCTTACAAACCCATACCAGAAACAAACGCTCCTTTGACATCAAACCATTACCCAGCCCGAAAAGGGAAAATTTTGCATATTGCCTATAATTAGAGAAATAGATGCCTCTTATCTGTTGTTCAGTAGCAGAATAATATGGTTTAAAATATATGTGCAAGTTTTCCCTCTTTTCAATTCTAGAATTGTTTTTGGTTACGAACAGCAACATGTTTCATTTAGCTATTCATAAGATGCATTTCTGGAGGTTGATTTGACTTTGGAATACCATGCTAGGTGATTAGTACGTGTTACTACAATTTTATCTTATCAGTAAGCACCAGGCATAATTTAACTTAGATATGGTTAATCTTTTCTCTAATATTTACACGTGACCAATTTTTATAGCCAAGTTCAGTGTACTTCCCTGTCAAGAATTCCAGGAGTAACCAGATCTTATTGCTTGTGACAGCCTCATGGGGAATGATGCTAAAACACTGGACAACGTTAATGGTTGACAATTTACCTGATTCCCTGTTAATCCAAATGTTGTGTTTGCTATTTGATGATCCTAGTATTATTTACTCCCTCCGTTCCAACTTCCAAGTTATAAAACATTTTGGCTTTTTTAGATGCATTGCTTTTACTATGTATCTAGACATAGTGTATATCTAAGTGCATAACAAAAGGTATGCATGTAGAAAAGCCAAAACGTCTTATAATTTGAAATGAAGGGAGTACTGATGAATCTGTATGGGAAAATAAAAAATGAGCTGTGCTGCTATCCATCATGATCAGAATGTGAGTGTCTTCACGTGATGACAACAAGTTAGTGACTATGCTAATGATTTTCATTCCTTTGGTTGAAGTGCTTTGTTTTCCTCAGTGTGGGACATCTCACTGTAGCCTGGAAGATGTTCACTTTTACTCTCTTTCAAGAAGTTGCATATTGCATTTGTTTACTAAAACTAATGTTGGCATGAGCAACACATCCTATTCATGTGGATATTCACCATGTGCTTTGTATGCCTTGGCAGCACAAATGATGCAGTCCTGGAAGAAATGAAGAAGGCTTATATGATTGAGCAAGAGAGCAAGGAGATGAACCAATAAACAAAATGCATTGCACAATGTGCATTACGTTCTCCCTGCTTGTACGTATACTGTTGCCTTTGATAGATACTATTCATGGGCAGTGTTGCAAACATTGATTCTGCCCCATGCATAACCTGATACTAGTACTGGTCGGCAATGTTTCTGTTTCTGTCGAATATGCAATACAAGTTTTCTTCTGTTGCAATTTTCATCCCAAATAGATTTTGTGTGGATGCAGATAAAGCAGTTGTGTTTTTGTTCTGCTACCATTAGCTCTAGTTCCACCAAGATTACATATTTTGCTTCATAACAAATCATGTGGGCATAGACATATTTGAGTTTATGGGAGTAATACAAAGCTAAGCAGTGGACGGGATTACATTTTCCGGTCCAAGTTAAGCTACTGATTAAAAAAAAGAATTGGAGACACTACTGGCCAAGATTGATAACCGATAGTAAATCAAGTTAACATCATCGTCCTCCTGAGAGGTCAGATCCAGGACCGATGCTTGTTGTCGCACGTGATGACGCATCCAACATGGCATATGAGTCGAACCCCTCACTTTGCAGAAACATCATAGTGCTATAGTCCAGGTTCATCATTGCCATTTCTGGGACTGTCAATGTACCGTCGAGGTACTGCAAGATTTGCCGCATGCTAGGCCGTGCATTAGGCATTGGCTGCAAGCATAGGAGCCCCAGCTTTAGAACCAGGCTCACCTCTTCTGCACTGTACTGACCACTCAACCGTGCATCCACCGTGTCAAGAATTGCTCCTTTGTTCCAGTGCTCGAGCACCCAGTCTAGCAGGACAACCTGGTCATGCTCTAGTGGTCTTCGTCCACAGGTCACCTCCAATAGAAACATCCCAAATGCAAAAACATCGGTTCCTGGTGATGCTTTCCCTGTGCGGAGCAGCTCAGGGGAGAGATACCCCATGGTGCCAACGACATTTGTGGTCCTTGGGTTGGTGCCATGACTGTACATCTTTGCAAGGCCAAAGTCACCTAAACATCCATTCATCTCACTGTCAAGAAGAACATTGCTTGCCTTGATGTCTCGGTGAACAACAACCTGTTCCCAATCCTCATGGAGGTACAACAAACCAGATGCAATGCATTTGATGATGTGGAACCTCATGTTCCAACTTAAAACAGGTCTGCTCTGGTCATATAAATGCTTGTCGAGGCTACCATTTGACATGTAGTCATAGACCAATAGAAGTTCGCCTTTGCGACGGCAATATCCAAGTAGCTGCACTAGATTCTTGTGTCGAAGCTTCCCCATGCTAACAATTTCTGCGATAAACTCCTTCATTCCTTGCTTAGAATCATGCGACACCCTCTTTACTGCAATCTCCAAGTTAGATTCCAAAAGGACCCCTTTGTACACTCTCCCAAACCCTCCTGTCCCAAGTAATTGTTTGCTCACAAACCCTTTTGTAGCATGGAAGAGGTCCTTGTAAGAGAACCTGTGCGGCCCAAACTCGACCTCCCAATCTTCATGGAGCTCAGCATACCTCAACCATCTTCGCATAAACATGAACACAACAATGATCAATGCGATGATGAAACCAGCCGTGGCAAATGGCAGCACTATCACCAAAGTTTCAGATAGGGAGCGCTTCTGGTGAGGTAATCTTGGCAGCACAGGTAGGTTAGATGCATTGAGGACAGGTGCAGCTCCGTTCAAACTGAAGCTCCAGCCAAGTATGTAATGGTATGCTATGGAGAGACCTGTCGCCGATGAGAACCCGATGTATGCTGTAGTGTTCACTATCTCTGAAAGGTTGATGGCGGCTGACAGCAGAGGGTCCTTGGGCTTCTCAACATCCAGAGGAGCTAAGGTGACATTGAGCTCCATGGCCTGGCCGCTGTAGTCCACCCACAGCTGCATGGCTTTACGGCTCATCAGCGTCAGGTTCAGAAACTTGCCAGTGCCGTCTTCGTAGTAACCGGCAGTGTGAGACTCCATGGACTGGAGATTGTTCACGTCAATGCCGACATGGTTGCTGTCTATGTCATGGAACTCGGGGCTGAGGACGGTATCAAGCTCGACAGCGAGGATGTGGTTGCTGGCCTTGCCATTGTTGCTGATGTTGAGGAGCCCCAAGTACTGTGCTCCAGTGGCGTCCGAGAGGTTGCTGCTGGGTGCGAGCACGAAGGCGAGGCCGTGGTCACTCAGCTGGGCGTGCTCAGAGATGATGGCAAACACGAAAGTGGCTGAGAATGACTGGAGGGCGGCGCCGCTCACTGGCCTGTGGAAGCGGAGAGGATCCGGGAAGAACGCATGGCCTTTGGTGTGCTTGTCGTTGGTTAGAGCAAGCAGGCCGCTTGGCGTGACAGCGGCAGCGCCATCAAGGGTGAGGTTTGCACCAGCGAAACCTTCATAG